CTGCTGCAGGGCCAAGCTGGGTGAACCTGGTTAGGGGTGTGGAAGAGGCAGGGTTGCAATGTGGCACACAACACAAAGCCCCAGTTCAATCTGGATCTCAGGCAAACAACAAATGCAAAATTTGGGACAACTTATATCAAAATTTTATTTGTTGTTAATCTGAAATTCAGATTTACCTGGGGGACTGATTTATCTGGCACCCTAACAAGAGGGAACTGGGCATGGGATAGGGGAGGGTGGGACAAGTTTATCTCCATTTGGGGATTCTGGAAATCTAGAAGATACACAAAGCCAGGAGCAGTGACAGCAGAGCATTGTGCCATTCTGCCTCTTGCCACATGCACACACAGCCTGTAGGACAGTGATGTATATAATCCCACAGCTGGCCCCTGGCAGCCAGCCCCTGTGGCTGTGCTCCTCAGCCTGTACCTGGCCCTGCCTGGGTCAAGTGTACAACTGGGTGCTTGGGGAAGGAGGAGGCAGCCCCGGGCAGAGAAGGAGATTCACCTTGGATCCAGCGAGGTCACAGGCCGATTGCCTTGAAATCACTGCTCGACGCACACAGACACACAGGCACACCGGAAGGCAGAGTGTCACAGGTGTAGGGTTCACACTCCCAACGCTTCAGAAGGACGGCCCGTTTGGCCCATGAACTTTGTGCCTCTGACAATAGCAGTTATTCACGGGACACACTTTTCTGTTTCCTTTCCCATGGGGCCTGTGCCCAGGCCCCAGCACCTGTCATTGTCAGATTGCTCCGAATATGCCTCTGTCACTTCTCTTTCTCATGGTTCATTATCAGTGTACAGGGAGGCACCGGATTTTGTATATTGGTATTATTGATACTGTACCCTGCAAGTTTACTGAATTTGACTACTAGTTCTAACAGGGTTTTTTTTGTTTGTTTGGTTTTTGGTTTGTGTGTGTTTGTGTGTGTGTGTGTGGCATCTTTAGGGTTTTCTATATATAATATCTTGTCATCTGCAAATAGTGAGAGTTTTGCTTCTTCCTTTCTGATTTGGATGCCTTCTATTCCTTTTCCCTGCCTGACCGCTCTGGCTAGGGCTTCCAGTATTACATTGAATGAGAATGAAGACAGTGGGTGCCTTTGTCTTGTTCTGGCCTTAGAGGAAAAGCTCTCCACTTCTCACCACTGAGTATGATCTGAGCTGTAGATGGTGATACATGGCCTTTGTTACATTGAGGTACATTTTTCTATACCCGCTTTGTTGAGGTTTTATCACAAAGTGATGCTGAATTTTGTCAAGTGCTTTTTCTGTATCTATGGAGATGATTAAGTGATTTTTATCCCTTATTTTGGGGATAATAATAAGTGGGGCCACACCACACTTATTTTGTCAGTGTGGTGTGGCACAGTGATTGATTTGCAGATGTTGAACCGCCCTTGCATCCCTGGGAGCAGTACCACTTGGTTATGGTGTACGATCTTTATATCGTATTGGGTTTTTAAAAATTAATTTGTGGCTGAGGTATAATTGACATACAACATTATAGTTTCAGGTATACAACATAATGATTCAATATTTGTGTATATTGTGAATTGATCACCACAATAAATCTTGTTAACATTCATCACCATACATAGTTACAGAAACTTTTTTCTTATGATGACGAGATTTAATATTTATTCTTTTAGCAACATTGAAATATGCAGTAGTCTTATTAACTTTAGTCACCATGCTATACTTTACACCCCCGGACTTATGTATTTTATGACTGGAAGTATGTTCCTTCTGACCCCTTCACCCATTCCCACTCCCCCCTGCCTCCGGGAACCACCAGCCTATTATTCTCTGTGTCTGTGAACATTTTTTTTTGATGTTGTTACAATTCCACATGTAAGTGAAGCCATAGGTGTTTGTCTTTGTCTAAATTATTTCACTTAGCATCATGCCCTCAAGTTTCATCCACATTGTTACAAATGGCAGCATTCAATCTTTATATGGACGAATAATACTCCATTGTACATGTGTGTATATTGTATGTATGTACACTGCCCCCCACCCCCATTTCTTTAGTTGATACATTGCTGAACCCAGTTTGCTAGTGCTTTGTTCAGGATTTTTTCATCCAGGGCTGTCAGGGGTATTGGCCTGAAATTTTCTTTTCTTGTGGTTTCCTTGTCTGGTGCTGATATGTTGACCTTGTGATACTAGTGTGGAAGGGTTCCTTTCCCTTCTACTTTTTGGAAGAGTTTGAGAAGGATTGGTGTTAATTATTTAAATATCTGGTAGAATTTACCCATGACGCCATCTAGTCCTGGACTTTTGTTAATTGAATGTTTTTTTTATTACTGATTCGATCTCTTTACGAGTAATCAATGTGCTCAGATTTTCTATTTCTTCACAATTTAGTGTTGGTAGGCAGTATGTTTCTTGGAATTTATCCATTTCTTTTAGGTCATAAAAGTGTTGGCATATAAGATTTCATAGTAGTCCCTTATGATCCTTTGAATTTCTGTGGTATGATTTGTAATATCTCTTCCTTTATTTCTGATTTTATTTATTTAAGTTCTCTATTTTTCTTGATCAGTCTAACAAAAGGTTTGTCAATTTTGTTTACCTTTTCAAAAACTAATTCTTAGCATCATTAATCTTTTTTATGTTTTTTTATTTATTTTGTATTGTATTTTTTCCATTTCCATTTACTCCCCTTATTCCCTCTTCCACCTCCACCCACTCCTTCCCCAGTACTGTTATATTGTCTTTTTAATCTCTATTTCATTTATTTTGCTCTGACCTTTTTTATTTTCTTCCTTCTACTAACTTGAGACTTTATATGTTCTTCTTTTAATAGTTCCTTGAGGTATAAAGTTAGATTGTTTATTTGAGGTTTTTCTTGTCGATTGAGGTAGGCCTGTATTGCTATGAACTTCCCTCTCAGAACTGTTTTTGCCGCATTCCATACATTTTGATGGCTGTATTTCCATTTTCCTTTGTCTTGAGGGATCTTTTGATTTCTCTTTGGACTTCTTCTGCAACCCACTGATTGCTCTGAAAGGGCCTCTCTTCATGCCTCTGCCCAGCTTTTTTGGAGGGTGGCTGCATCTTTCAGGGGACCTTCAGGGAGACTCCTGCACAGGCCATACCGCCCCTCCTGCAGTGTCACCACCCAGTTACCCTCCTGATTTAATGCAGATCAGTTCAGCCAGTTTGTGTGCCATAGGGACACAGATGGGAATGCAGATCCATGTGTTGTTCTGGTAGACTCCGGGCTCCCCGAAGGCAGACCTAGCTGTTTCCCCATCTCTGGACACTCACCCGCGGTGCCAAGCCCATACCAGCAGGCCCTGGAGGAAGATTGGCTGAGTTGGGTTGAAACAATGTGGCCCACCAAAATAAAAAATTTTTGTTCATCAAAGGACAATAAAAAGAACCGAAAAAGACTACTCACAGAATAAGAGAAAAAAATTGTAAATCATAAATCTGACAAATACCTACAGAATATATAAAGAACAAAAAGATAATCAATTTGCCCAAATTTCAAAAATGGGCAAAAGACTTAAATAGATTTTTCTTTAAAGAAGATATACAAATAGCCAATAGGTATATGAAAAGATGTTCAATGTCATCATTAGTCAGGAGGGAAATGTGAAGCCAAGCCATGACTCGACACTTTACATGCACTAGAATAACTGCGCTTTTTGAAAACGGAAAAATAACAAGTGTTGGCAGGGGTAAGGAGAGATCTCAATGCCTACACACACTGCCGATGGGAGCATAAAACGGTGCAGCTGCAACGGGAAATAGTCTGACATTTCTGTGGTAGGTGAGAGATAGACTTACCACGTGACCAGCAGTCCCACTCCTAGACACGTTCCCCAGAGAAATGGAACAAGGCCCACGCAAGCACCTGCACATGCACGGGCACAGCAGCACTGTTTCTGATGGCTCAGAGGGGGAAACGTCCCCAGTGTCTGTCAACTGCTGGATGGATAAACAAAATTTTGTATTTTAATGCAATGGACTGTTACTCAGTCATAAAAAAGGATGAAGTGCTGACACATGCTATAACATGAATGAACTTCAAAAAGATTCTGTTAAGTAAAAGAAACCAAAGTCAAAAGTCACATATTGTGTGCTTCTGTTTATATGAAACCTCCAGCACAGGCTAATTCATGGAGACAGAAAGTAGATTAGGGGCTGGAGAGTGAAAGCTGACAGGCCTGGGGTTTCCGTGTGGGGTGATGGAAATGTTCTGGATTAGACCATAGTAATGGTTGTACAGCTAAACACCACTTTGAAATTTTATTTCAAAATTAAAAAACAAAACAAAACATGGTGGCCAGGGTATGAAGTCTGCGACTGTGGGCCCTGCAGTGCCCCCCGGAGCCCTTAGCCTGCCCTCTCAGAGTGAATCCTGAGCTGCCCACAGGGTGAGCAGAGGCCACTGCTGGCAGCCCACAAACCAAGCATTTTCTTACCTTCTGGGGAACTTGGCAGCAGGGCCAACACTCCTCACTCCTCCTTCTGGACACCTTCAGCCTGGAACCCCCCTCGCCCCCGTCACACACCGGGAAATCTGAGGACAGGCACCAGAACTGCCTCTGGGGCCAAATTATGGGCTGACCTGGAGGTGCTAATCACTCTCTCGCTCATTGAATGAGCAAGGGAGGTGCATTGGGGAAGCCAGGCGGGCAGCTGGCAGAATCAGTGCTGAAGCCATGATGGAGGCACATCCAGGCCTCCTGTGGCAACCCAGAAAAAAGGGTACTGGACAGAGCACAGCTACCTTGTCTCCCAGCTGTCTTCTCTCCAGGTCCTCATGCACGTACCTGTTAGCATCCACTCGGTCTCTCCCTGGTCATTCGCCCGTGTGCAGTGACCTGGGTGCCTGGCAGCAGGGGTGTTTGAGATGAGCAAAGGCAGGAGGGGCCTTCGTTAAAGCTGTCTGTTTACTTCACTTCACTGTTAGCTGTTGAAGGTTTGCTTTAGGTGTGATTAGTTTAAAAAGTAAACTAAAAATGACCCACCTTGCAGATGCCTGCGCCACTGCCGCTGCCCTGCCTCGGACCTCCCCGCGCCCAGCCGTGGCCGACCCCGTTGTGTTCTTCGACATTGCTGCTGATGGTGAGCCCTTGGGCCGTGTTTCCTTCAAGCTGTTTACAGACAGAATTCCAGAGACAGCAGAAAACTTTCATGCTCTGAGCAATGGGGAGAAAGGATGTGGTTATAAAGGCTCCTGCTTTCATAGAATATTTCCGGGATTTATGTGCCAGGGTGGTAACTTCACAGGCCACAGTGGCACAGGCAACAAGTCCATCTACGGGGAGAAGTGTGATGAAGAGAATTTCGTCCTGAAGCACACAGGTCCTGGCGTCTTGTCCATGGCAAATGCTGGACCCAGCACCAACAGTTCCCAGTGTTTCATCTGCACTGCCAAGACCGAGTGGCCGGCTGGCAAGTATGTGGTCTTCTGCCCCGTGAAACGTGCACCGATGTTGTGACAGCCATGGAGCGCGGGGGGTCCAGGAACGGCAGGACAAGCAAGAAGATCACCATTACTGACTGTGGACAACTCTACTAACTTTGACTCGTGTTTTATCTTAACTACCAGACCATTCCTTCTGTAGCTCAGGAGAGCAGCCCTTCACCCCCATCTACTTAGAATGTTCTATAATCTTCGTGCTCTTGATGTAATTCATTGGGTTCCATATTTTCCTTATCCCTTCCAAGTCTAGCTGTTTTGCAGAGTTTATGATTATGAAATTAAAAACTAAGAATAAAAAATAAACTAAAAATTGAAAGCTTGAAAGTCTATGCCTTTGGAGGCACTGGGGAAGCAGGCATGAGGATGTGGGCCACCCCTTCTCTGCCCTGCCCTGGTAGGGGGATGGTGTGCAAGAGCAGCCCTCGGGCTGGGCTCAGGGCTCGGGGCTGGGCCTGGGCTCCGGGCTAGGCAGTCCTCAGGCTCCTTCGGCAGAGCCTTCCATCTCTTCTCAGCAGCCTCTACCCCCCTGCACTCCTACTCCGCCCCTAAGTCCGCTGCAGGCTTTGGGGCTATATGCTGTGGCCCTCGCTCAGAGGGGTGCCTCTGCTGGCTGAGGGCACCTCCTACGCTGATAGGTCTCTTTCTGCTCTGTGACATGCATGGGATGTGTCTGCTGGAAGAGGGTGCAGTGTGGTCCACCCAGACAGGACTGAGGATGTATGGGAATCCCTGCAGAGCCGAACGACGGGTTCGCAGGGCAGGTGCCTCCTGTCCCGTTCCCTCCTCAGCTTCAGAGCCTCAGGGCCTGGAAGCACTGCCCCGCTCACTTCAGGTTTCTCTCAATGCACACCTCACATGCCTTCTTCTCTTTCTCATTCAGGTTGCAAGATGGGAACAGAGAACCCGAAAGCTGAGCCAAGCCATGGGCTCCCCCTACCTGGCCTGCTACATGCTGGGCGGGGTCATCTTGCTCCTAAATGTCCTGCGCTCACACTGGTAAGCCTGCCCAGGCTGTGCTGCCTACCAGTCAGCTCACTGAAGGAGCCCAGGGCTACTGTGGTGCAGGGGTGGCCAGTGCAGGGCTTGCTGGGGTCCATTAAGACTCTGGAGACTTGTGTCTGAATGCACAGGGAATTCTGCTCTCTAAGGCCCCATGCCGCAGCCTGCCATCCCTTCCCCTGTCTGGGCCATCAAACTCCTATCAGCAGAGGAGTCCTTGTGACCTCAGAAAAAGATGGCACCACCTCCCTGGGATTCTGGCATTGAGGATGAGGCCTGTATGGCCCCCAAGCTTGCATCCCTGGCTTCCAGGTTGTAGACAAAGCCACTATTGGAGTGCCTTCTGGTAAGTTCCAGACAGGAGGCAGGCCAGTGTCCCTGAAGAGGCGGGCCTCACCCAGACCTGGGCTGGTATCAATGAGTCCCCCTGAGGACCTGGGATGTGTTATTTTCCTGCCTTCAAAGACAGAGGCCAGGATAGGCAAGCTTGTTCCAGATGATGAAGCATAACCTGTGTGGGACATGAGAGCAAATGCTGCCACCCAGATGTAAGACAGGATTCTCTGGGGTGGGATGAGGCTGTGGAGAGGCGGAGTGGTAGCAGTGGTCAGATGTGGCCACGTCCAGTGTGGCCTGTCCCTGAGCCAAGTTCGCACCTCCTGGAGTTCTGTGAGACCCACAGCAATGGTATACTAGCTCATGGAGTGAACACGGTCTGTCTGGGTGGTGCTTTGAAAAAAGAGCACTGGTGCATGGGGGTTAGCACACGGGAGTGGCAAGGCTCAGGGAGGGTAGAAGGCTGGAGAGAGCCCTGTCTCTGGGGGTACCTGGCGCCCTGAGGGCCTGTGCACAGCCAGGACAGCACTTGCATCCCACAGCTCTCAGCCTGAGCTAACAGTCGGGGCCAGGTGACTGTCCAGAGGTGCTGGTCTGTGTCCTGAGGCACAGAGTACGGGCATGGACAGCTGTGCCACCTCCTACCTTTGGCACCCTGTAGTCACCACAGCTGTCCAGGGTTGGGTGTTTGAGCCCATGTATCACGGGGGTGCCAAGGCTGGTTAGTGGCTGAGCCAAGAAACTAACCCAGCTGTCCTGACCAACCATCCTGGCCCTTCCCAGGAAGCTTCTCTCTGTCTTGGTGCTGAGTTCTGGTTTCCCTGCCTCTCCCTAGCTCAGTAATGCAGTCTCCCTCTTCCCACTTGGACAAGCCAAAAACCTAGGAGGCATTTTTTATTGTATCCTGATGTTACCAGGGAGAGACCCAAGTTTCCCCCTGCTTCCTGCCCCGAGCTTGTTCCTTGGTTCTGCCTTGCCTGCAAGAAATGGATTCAAGCAAGAGACAAACACATATAGTGCAAATGAGGTAGCTAGTTTATTTATGAAACACACAGGTGCAAAACTACAAGCAGGCTTTGGCTAGTCTGAATGCCCCATGCATAGAGGAAATAAAGTTGTTAGTAAGTTTGTTCTGTACGCTTGAGTTGAGGCTACAAGTGGGCACTCAGCTAATTGAGTGTGCCAACTATTGAGGTTGAGGGGTTATATACCTTAGACAGCTTCTAGGTTCCCCCTCCTTCTTCCCCTTCTAAACCTTGGGAATAATGTACAGCCATAAAGAGTTTCCTTCTCGGTTAGTAAAGGCCCTTTGTCTCGGTGAAACTTCTCCAGAGGCTCCCTTTCCCAGCACAGAGTCTCAACTCCCCTGCCTCCTGCACTGTCCCTGCTTGTGTTGTTCAGAACGCCCGGCAATCTTATTGGACCTGGCTCAGGACCGCTGAGTCAGTGGGTGAGACGCATCTGCCCCTCTTCCCTGCCTTAGTTTACTACCTGTCCTCCCTAGCACTGCTGTCTCCCTGTGCAGTCCAGCAGCACAGCCTGGGGTCAGCCCCCTTTGCCCTCTCGTCTCTAGACTGTGAGCAGTGGCCTTCCTCTGCACAGCCTGGTGGAAATCTTGTCAGAGTGAGAATCAAACTGAGTCATCTCTGCCTGACCCCTGGCTCCTGGCTTCCTGCTGCAGTAAAAATAACATGCAGATCATCCATGGCCTAGCTAATTCAGCTCTGGTCATCTCCCTGCATTCCCACAGCAGGGCCTCGGCCCCAGCCCTCCCTCCCACAGCTCTTGGATCTGGCTTGCCCTGCTGCATTTACTCTCAGCATCCATGGCGCCCCCCCCCCCCAGGGAGTCCCACTGACTATCTCCTGTGTGGAAGAAGCCCACAGTTCCCTTGCCCAGGCCTTTGTCTGTTTCAGTGGACAGTAAGCTCGAGGAGGGTCACGACTGCATGTGTCTCGTGAGCCACATTATCCTCAGAGTGGAACACTGACCCTGCCTCAGCAGTGATCAGTGAGTACTCAGGATAAGTTCAGAGTGGACTGGGCCTGCACTGGGAGCCCAGCTGACCCATGACCGTGGAGAGAGGTCATGACGTGGCTGGAAGACTTCAACGTGATCTCTAAAAACTGGCGAGGCTTCCAGTCAAGATGATGGTGTAGGTAAATCTGGTACTCACCTCCTCACCCACATCAAAATTACAACTAAACTACAGAACAACCATCATTCAGAACTGTCGGAAATCAAGCCAAATGGAAGCCCTACAACTAGGGAATTGAAGAAGCAGTCACATCAAGACTGATAGAAGGGGTGGAAAGGGCTGGTCCCACACCCAAGTGTGGCAGACAAAAATCGGGAGAGAGCTCAGCGGCACGTGTCCCCCCTGAGGAGCAAGGGGTCCCAGCCATACAATAGGCCCCCCAGCCCAGGGTTCCAATGCTAAGAAGAGAAGTTGCCCTAACTTTTCTGGCTGTAAAAACCAATAGTTGAGGCTGAGGTGGAGGGCTTCTGGAGTTCCAGGCAGTTCCTCTTAAAAGGGCCTGCACATGAACTTACTCAGATTCACTCCCTCTGGGTTCTAACACGGGGCAGCAGCTCAGAAGGCACCAAAGACATGTGGGAAGGATCTGGACTGTCTGGCATCAGGGCGAGAGCTGGGGGAACAACTTTCTCCCAGACAGAATTCCTGACAGGGGCCACTGCTTCTCTGATGAGCCCTCCCACACAGAGCCAGCAGGCAGGCACCATATCAGAGACTCCATCAACCTGGCTCGCACTGTTTGCCCCACTCTGGTGATCCTGAGACCCAGCCCCACCTGGCTTATGGACCCACTCAAGCTGTTTCCAGTGGCTTTTCCACATGAAAGGCCTGTCGTGGCTCATATTCCTGATTTTCCTAAAATGTCTCAAACAAGAAGCATCTGGCCTCAGTGAGCCCCATACCTCTCACCAAGTGGCCCCAGGCCTGGCACTAGCAGTAGCCAGCCTTGGCTCACAGCTTGGTTTTACCTGAGCAGCTCCAAGCCCACACAGGTGGTAGTCATCTTCAGATCACTTTATAGCTCATGCTGGATGGCACCAGGCAGAACACAGGGCCAACCTTGGCCTGCACCTCCCAAGAGGACCCAGTGTTAGCACAACCAGTAGAAAGCCTCTGACCATATCGAAGCACTGCCCAGCTACCCCCACAAGTGACACAATCAAGGGGCAAACACAGCAGGCACCAGAGTGCTGCTGAAGTAATTCCTATTCTGTAGCATGAGCCCCTGCTGAGCTGATCTTCCACAGTGGTTACAGCCAGTCCTTGCAGCCGTTTAGCCTAGGGGTAAATTTCCCCCATTTACCTGCCAACAGCAATCAAAGCTCTACTACAACAGGAGGATGTACACACCCCATACAGGGGGCGGGGGTGATGCATACCTTAAGTGCCCAGCCTGGGTGATCAGGAGGCTGTGCCACTGGACCCTCCTGGACACCTAGTACATTAGGCCACACTACCAAGCCTGGGAGATGTAGCAGATCTACTAATACATAAAAACATACCCAGTGGGCAGCCAAAATGAGACAAAGAAACATGTTAAAGGACTGAACAAAACTCCAGAAAAAGAATTAAACAAAATAGAAACAAAAGCAATCTACTAGATGCAGAATTCAAAACACTGGTTATAAGGATGCTCAGTGAACATAGAACATCAACAGCATAAAAAAAGGACCAGTCAGAAATGAAGGATACACTAACTGAAATGAAATGAAGAATATTTACAGGGTATCAACAGTAGGGTGGATGAAGCCTAGAATCAAATCAGCAATTTTTTAATATAAGGAACACCATTCAGAGGAGAAAAAAAAAAAGAACCCCCCCAAATGGGGATAGTATAAGGAGTCTCTGAGACAACTTCAGGTGTACCAACACTCACATCATGGGGATGCCAGAAGGAGAAGAGAGAACAAGAGATTAAAAGCATTTGAAAAAATAATGACAGAAAGCTTTCCCAACTTGGTGAAGGAAATAGACACACAAGTCCAGGAAGCACAGAGAGTCCCAGCAAGATGAACCCAAAGAGGCCCACTCCAAGACACAGCATAATTAAAATGCAAAAGGTTAGAGACAGAGAGGGATTCTTAAAAGCAACAAGACAAAACAGTTAGTTACCTATAAGGGAGCTCCCATAAGACTGTCAGTTGGTTTCTCAACAGGAACATTTCGGACCAGAAGATACTTGTAAGAAATATTCAAAGTGATGAAAATCAAGGACATACAACCAAGATTACTCTACCAAGCCACACTATCATTCAGGATCGAAGGGCAGATAAAGTGCTTCCCAGACAAGCAAAAACTAGAGTTCATCACCACCAAACCAGTATTATATGAAATATTAAAGGGTCTTCTTTAAGAAGAAGAAAAATAGATATATCAAAAATATGAACAATAAAATGGCAAAAATACATATCTAACAACAATGGAATCTAAAAATCCCCCAAAAATAAATGATCAAGCAGAACAGAAACAGACTCACGGATACAGAGAACGTTCTGAAGGTTGCCAGATGGCAGGAGTGGGGGTGGGGCACTGGGTGACAAAGGTGAAGGGATCGAGAAGCGCAGATTGGTGGTTACAGAACAGTCACAGGGATGTAAGTTACAGCACAGGGAATCCAGTCAGT